ACAGTGAAGTTCCTACTTTATTGTTATGAAGCTATGTCAGGTCTTAAAATTAATTTTTAGAAAAGTGAAGTGATTGTCTTGGGAGTGGAAGAAAGGGAGGCACGGAGGGTGGCTGACCTCTTTAATTGTAATAGGGGAGCCCTACCCATCACCTATCTGGGCTTGCCCATTAGTGAGGGGAGGTTGACAGCGAAAGACTTGGAGATCCCAGTCACAAAGATTGAAAAGCGGTTCGCAACTTGGAAATGTGGCTTTCTTTCCTATGGAGGAAAGTCCATTTTGATTAACTCTTGTTTGAGTAGTGTTCCAATGTATATGATGGGATTTTTATTTGCTTCCAACTCAAACACACCATAAGATGGATAGTATTAGAGCTAGATTTTTTTTGGGATAGCCTAGAAGGGAAGAAGAAATATCACTTGATCAAATGGGAAGCCTTATGCAGACCCAAGGAGGATGGGGGGCTGGGCTTCATCAACACTAAGATTATGAATGAAGCACTCCTCTGCGAATGGATTTATAAGTTGGAATCTGGGAACAATAGTCCCTGCTGCAATCTTTTGAGGAAGAAATATTTAGGTCAGGGAGGTGGCTTCTTTCAATCTTCTCCCGAAGGGGGTTCACAGTTCTGGAAAAGTTTACATGAGGTTAAGAATTGGATGAAACTGGGTAGTGCCTACAACATTGGCAATGGGGGAGGCTGTCAGGTTCTGGGATGATGTTTGGTTAGGGGAGGTGCCCTTAAAAATCCAATTTCCTTACATTTATAGCATTTGCGCTGACCCTGATAAGTCTGTCAGCCAAATGTTGATAGAAGGGGGGTGGGAAATTAGGTTAAGAAGGTCGCTAGGTCAGGCGGATTTGAATGAATGGTGTGAATTGCACTCAAAACTTAGCACAGTTCAGTTGACCTCAGAGGAAGATATAATGTTCTGGAAGCTGACAAAAAAGTCAATTCATAACTAAATCGTTATATAGAGAAATGATCTTTGGGGGGGGTCAAAGACATTGTTATCCAGGACCTTTGGAAAGCCCCAGTGCCCCTGAAAGTGAAAACTTTTGTTTGGTTGATGCTTAAGGGGAGAATTCAGGTGGTAAAACAGTTAAAAAAGATGAAATGGCCAGGTAGCCCAAACTGCAAGCTCTGTCAGAGTGAGGAAGATATAGATCATTTGATGTTTAGATGCCCATCTGCTCAGTTTCTTGGGTGTATCTTGAGAGGTACCTTTAGCTGGCCGCATATCCCTGCTTCTAGGAAAGAATTGCTTAATTTGGCTCAGTTACAGAGGGGAGACAAGGCCAAAGTTCTTTGGCTTCTTTTTGCCACTAGATTTTGGGCAATTTGGCTTATTAGAAATGATTGGGTCTTTAATAACAAACTGATGACAAATGTTTCTTCTCTGCCTTATAAAGCTCTTTCGTTTGTAACGCAGTGGAAAAGGCTAGCTCCGGTAAACCTAAGGGGGGAGGTGGAGACTGTACAAGGGTTGTTGCTTGCCAGCATTCGCGAGACAGAAGGCTCAAACTGATGATGGCGAACTGAAGAATCAACATCTCTTGGATAGTCCCCTGCATGGAACTTTTACTTCTATGCTTCTATGTCGATCCTTGGCTTGTTCTGCTGTGCCATCAGCATTAGTTCCTCGCTTTCTTTTCAGACTGTGTGCCTTTTGTTTGTAAGCTGGAATCCCCAGCAATTTGTGAACCTTTTATGCTTTTAGTAAAAGCTGGGCCTTGTGCCTTTTCTCAAAAAAAAAGGTCTGCAAATCAACGGCCGAAGAGTGGTGACGACGAAGCAGAGCGGCTGGCGGCTGGCGGCTAGCCTGGCTCTCAAGGGTGAAGACAAGCTTAGGGCTTGAGCCCTAGGTTTGTATCCTAAATCCCTTGCAAATCCTTTTCAAATTTCATGGAAAATTTAAAGATTCAACAAAATGCATTGGTTGAGCACTAGAGTTAGTAAATTTCTGGCTCCAACCCTACTAGCAATACCACAGAGACGACGGTGAATGTATAAAACAAAGACGTAGAAGGAGCCGTGCCTGCCGCGAAGTGGGGGTGGTGATGTGAAGCTGCGAGCTAGTGGGCAGCTGGTGGTAAGTGGCAACGACGAGGGCTCGAGGGCTAGCTAAATATGCATTGAACCATGATATCTAGAAAATTAATAGTTATTGGATCCCTCTAATGTTTGATGTATTATTTTTTCTTTAGTTTTCTTTGAAGTATTTTAAATTCCCCGCTACAACCTGCGGGATATTAACTACTAGTATATTATATATCGCCTGTCATGCAAACTTGCAATTCAATCACACGGATATATGACAAGCATATAAATATATAATGGTGGGTGGTAAGTAGCAGCACATAGAGATTGATCGAGAATGGTAGCACACGGCATCACGCACGCACAGCACACAGATTAGGCACAATAATCTACAGGTTGTACAAGTTCTCGACACACTCCAGTTAGATACTTAGGCTGTGTTCGGCACTGGCTGTTCCCATTCTCTACTCCTCGTTTTCCACACGCACACTTTTCAAACTGCTAAACGGTGCGTTTTTTTAAAAAAGTTTTTATACGAAAGTTGCTTAAAAAATCATATAGATGTATTTTTGAAAAACAATTTAGCAAATACTTAATTAATCGCACGCTAATGGATCGCTCCGTTTTCCAGGCGCACGCACACTTTTCAAACTGCTAAACGGTGCGTTTTTTTAAAAAAGTTTTTATACGAAAGTTGCTTAAAAAATCATATAGATGTATTTTTGAAAAACAATTTAGCAAATACTTAATTAATCGCACACTAATGGATCGCTCCGTTTTCCAGGCGCACATCCTGCGTAGGGGTGGGCAGAATAAGACCGAACTGAAAAACCGAACCGAAAAGACCGAGACCGAGAAATTCGGTTAGTAGTTCGATCTCGGCAATTGAAAGACCGAAATTTATTCGGTTAATTCGGTCATTAGCCTCGGCTAACCGAATGCTAACCGAATTAACCGAGAAAACCAAATTATAGCCCAGTAGGCCCAATAAACCAAACCCTAGAGGAACTCAACCCTTAGCCACAGAGACAGAGGCACCGCAACTAGAGATGAAAACGGATCGAATACGGTCGGAAACTAGCTATATCGTATTCGTTTTCATTTTTTTTTTCGGAATCAGAATCGGATACGGATACCCGGATATGAAAACATAATCGAATATTATCGAATACAAATACGGAGCAAGCGAAACGAATACGGTGACGAATATTAATCGGAATATAAAAACCTCTCAAACTAAGCATCACAAATCAACGAAGAAATATAACTCATTATTTTTTCTAATAGGACATATCAACATTTTCAAAATTTAGCAATTAATAATAAACAACCACAAACTTGCACACACTGATATTATGAAATACCATCCATCATCATGTGAAGTGAAAAGGCAAAGCACTACTAGGCATGCCAGATAATGTCAACCAATCTTTTTAGTCTAAACTCTGAAGTCTGCAATGCTGAGTTGGTGTTTGCAATGCTGCTACACTCGCACTGCATAAGCTGAAGCTGCTGCTGCTACTTGCATGAGAGGAATTCATCACAAATCTGCCACATAACACATATACACTAAACAAAATCAAATCAGTGAGGAGCTCTACAAATCAAATCAGTGAGGACTCTACAAGTCATACCAAATCTTGGGGCTTGACGGTGAGGCAGGCGAGGAGGCGATGGGGCGCCGCGGCGGCGGCGTTGGCTTGGCCCGGCGGCGGCGATGTGGCGCGTGACGGCGCGAGGAGGCGATGGGGCGCGGCAGAGCCGGCGTGGGTTGCTCCGACGGCGGCGATGTGGCGACTGGGCGAGGAGGCGATTGGTCCCGGCGGCGGTGGCGGCTTGGCCCCGCAGCGAGGAGGCGACGACGGCTTGGCCCCGCGGCGGCGCCGGCCGATGAGGAGGTGAGGAATCGTGCGCCTGTGGGACTCTGTCTGGGACTGGACGGTGGGAGACTGGGAGTGGACTGGATCTGAATGGATGGAGATTGGAGACTTCTAGGGTTTCTTGTAAGTCAGAAAAAAACCAGAAACTTTCCGACCGTTATCCGATTCCAACGGATATCATCTATATCATATTCGTTTTCGTATCCGCAAAAAAATATCCGTATTCTTTTCCGTATCCGAAAATTTTTGGATATATCCGACTGAAACTATCCGTATCCGAAAAATGGTCCGGTCGGTCGGAAATTATCCGAAACACTTTCAACCCTAACTGCAACCGCAAGCTACAACACCGCGTCGCCATCTATCCCCATCCATCGCGCTCGGGCTCGCGGCCTTGCGCGGCGCAGACCCGCGGTCACGCTGCCTCCTCCATCGCACCGGCGCGGCGCCGCCTCCATCGCGCCACCGTACCGCCTCCGCCGTCCAGCCAGCCCGCCTCCACCTCGGTGCCGCCTCCAGTGGCCCACCTCCGCCTTGGCGCGACGGCGCTGCCTCTAGCGACAACGAGCCGCATCCGCCTCCACGCCGCCTCCAGCGACAGCGAGCCACCTCCACCTCCGCCTCTGGCTCGACGCCGCCATCGTCTCCAGCCAGCTCCTGCCTCCGCCTTTTTTTGTCTCTCTGAATATTTTTAATTTGCTAGTCGCGTGTGCAGATGCTGAGATGCTTCGTCTATCTATTGATCTATTGAGTTGCTTTTGATTTGTCAATCAAATATTTGCTGTTTGTATTTTATGAATTTTTTGGTTCTAATTTCTAAGGACTTCTGCTCGGGTTAGTTCAGTCATGACCGAGACTGAACCGAACTAACCGAGGACCGAATTGTTCGGTCTTCAGTTTTGTTCAGGACCGATCGGTCTCGAGTTTTTGATAACCGAAATTTCTAAGAGACCGAGAAACCGAACCGAACTTTTCGGTTAGACAAAATGCCCACCCCTAATCCTGGGTTGGGAAGCCAGGCTTCCAAACGCAGCCTTAGTTAGCTACTCCAGTATACTTACTTTTAGCGAGCGTTCTTCTAAAATACAGGACGAGGACGTTACACATCAACACTATACAAAGCATACAATAGTTAGTTAGTTACCTATAAATATATACTACACTAATATCTTGTCACATATGTCATACACACATACATCTTCGTGCTGCAGCTGGCTACAAATCTATAGTCCACTACTTTTCTCTCTCATATTTTATCTTCTTGAAATGTGTTTATAACTGACTTATAGTATGCTATTGTACATGCTCTCATGGACGAAAGCGCGCGTGTAGATATGTGTATCCGTAGGACACATGCACGCATGCATGCAAGGTATACCATCACATCAATGGCGTGGCCGGCCGGCGGCCGGCATCAGTCTTCTCTGTCTAGCCCGAACTTGCGGTCGAGGTAGCGGCCGACGGCCTGGAACGTCGGGCCGTAAAACCCGCCTTCGCTGCTTCCTGTTCCTGATCCGGATCTCTCCCTCTCGCTGGCTTCAGTACTTTCGTCCTGCGACGACGTCGTCGTAGACGAACGTGGGGGCGAGTAGTAGATGACATTGATGTACTCGCCTTCATTGATGTACACCGGCGGCATCGTCGTCCCGGAGCCCTCCTCCCACGGCGGAGCCGGCCAGCCGCCGGTGAAGTTCTTGATGGGAACAGTTTGGGCTCCAGATATGATGCTGCCGCCGCCGCCGCCGTCGTCAGCTCTATCAAAGCATCAATCAGATTTTTAATGTCAGAGAAAGCCTGAATCACTAGCTAGGCAAGCAAATATATGTGGTGCTGTATATGGATGTCATGGTCTGTTGGTCATAAGTTGATCACAAATTTTATTTTGATATATTCTTAAAAACCTAACTTTATACTCGTTGTATATGATCGACCTAATACGTACTATAAGTTTGTCAATCCTGAATTTTCCGCAGCAGTGTTCTAGTATGAATTCCTAGTTGTTCACTGTAAACTGAAATCAGGGTGTTGAAAGATTAATTAGAGATGTGTTTTTTTTTGCGATTCGTAGACTTAGATCAAGTTGAATCAATCGAATGCAAACTTTATTTTGTGTCTATGTGAAGGAAGACTATTGCACATTGCTCTTCAGTGCGTGGGCACACCTCAAACTTTCCTGGATCCACCACTAGTTAGTCCAAAGTTATAGATTATATTTGAGTTAACAGTGATAATCTAGCACAATGGCTCATAATAAAATGGCAGTGTTGTATAAAGGGCTAGAGTATCTTAGTGACAAATTAATCCATACCTGCTTTCGGCAGATTTATAAAAACGCTCGAACTGGGGCTGCCTACGCCACCATGATCCTGCCGTTAAGACTCCGCGCCTTTCTCCTTCGACAGATTTACATGCTCCTTCCCCGTGGTCCTTTTGTAGAACCACAGATTTCTCATTCAAGCCTTCTTTCACAATAAGGTGTTGTTTTTCAGTAGTCCTATGTTCTTCATCTCGTGTCCTGACATTGTTATTATCTTTATCATCAAAGGTCCAATCTACACACCGTATGTTGACAATTGGACGTCCCGGATGCATCCTAATGGCATCAGTCAAAGCTGACTCTGCAAATCTTCTACAAAGATCACCAGCAGTAAAATCGACCTTAATTTTTGCAGTGATCTCTTCAAGTCCTGACAAATTTTCGATTCCAACGGGTATAGCATCATGCTGATCTGCTCTGTGGACATCAAAACCTAGCTTGAGCTTCCGGAGATTAGGCATTGCACCTGCCTCAAATTTCATCCACGCTAAGCTGCATCTGAACTTTAAGTATTTGAGGACTGAGAACCTTGCATTATCAAAGACAATACTTTCTGCAGGCTTTGTGTGGACATAAAGTGACAAAACAGTGAGAGCAGGTAATCCTCCAAGAACATCAACATCATAGCTTGTTACTTCCCTAATCCCAATCATTAAAATACAGAGATTTCCAAGCTGCCCAATCCAATTCGGAAGGCTAGAAAAGATGCAAACACATGGTAACAACTCAAGCCTCTGAAGAAGAGCTGGTGGGGAGGACACACTGCTCCAGCCATAAACAGATACACTCGTGCTTGTAGCACTGTGAATATGCAGAGTATTTGCATAAGAAGAGCCTACAGGTGATAGAGTTATAGATTTGAGATTAGGGAGTTTCCCCAGAATGGATCCAAGGTATTGCATATTATTCTTCAGATTGTCAGAATGTATGGCAGAATAGGTGAGCTGAAGATCCTGGAGATTGGTCAGCTCACCAAGGCTCCATAGATTCTCTGATGTGTTACAGCTGAGATCAATATATCCAAGTGTTCGAAGCGATGACATGTGAGCAATTCCATTGGGCGGGTTTGTCCTAGCAGGTAGACTAAGATGCAGCAAGCCTGGGAGATGAACGATGTCTGATGGAACTGCATCTATTTTTCCATCTATTTTCAGTGCCTCCAAATATTGTAGACCTTGCATATGGGTTGGCATTTTTAAGGTGATATTGGAGGTGACCTTCAAATATCTCAGTCGGACAAGTTCCGAAATTTCAGTGAGATCAAAACTGATGCTGTCCTCATCACCGCAGAAATGTAGAATTAGAACTTTAAGAAGTTGAAACCCCGTAATAGAAGGCATACAATTCAAGACCCCGCAAAAGGCAAGTGTCCGAACTTGAGACAGTCTCATATTAGTTGGTGGAGTTGCATCCTCTACATTACCGAAGTGAATAGATAATCGTCGAACCTTGTCAGCGAGCCTTGTAGTCGCTTGTGTGTGGTCTATTGCAATAGCAAAATTTTCTTCTGTTGACATGTATGTAATAAGATTGAGTACCATATGGTGAACCACACAAGACAAAACCTCACCATTGTCATTGATATGTACAGGCTGGATAAATTTTCTATCAACAAGCTCACTGAAATAGGCTCTTGAAATTTCTTCCTTTTCATGCCCTTCACTAGGACAGATGAAACCTTCAGCTATCCATTGATTCACCAAATCATCCTTCCAAATTATGCTATTCTCTTGGTACATTCTGAGATATAACATGCATGCCTTCAAATGCTGAGGAAGACTGTTGTAACAAAGGTTCAATAGTTGTTTCATCCCTTCCAAATTAGGATTTGCCATCAAACTGTAACCTAAGGTCTCGTTTATATAATCCCATTGCTCATGTTTCTCAAGCTGAGTTGCTAAGAGGCTTGCAATAGTGACAACGGCTAGCGGCAAACCACCACATTTCCTTACAATATCATACGAAACTTCACAGAGTTCTGGAGGACAATTAGAATGAGAACCAAAAACTGTACTGAAAAATAAATTTCTTGAGTCATCCTCACTAAGTGGTTTCATCTTGAAAATATAGTTCGACTCATAACCACAAGATTGCAGAGCTAGATCTTCAATTTCTGTCGTGATCAGTATTCTGCTGCAACTATTACCATCTGGTAGTGTGCACTTAATAATATCCCATGTGCATATATCCCATAAATCATCAATTATGATCAAGTACCTGCCAAATATTTTCCTCAAAAACATATGTTGTACAATAAATATATTGCTAATATTAACCTAAGTCCTGATAATTACTGCATGGAGCATTTATAATAATATATATTTGGGCTTTGCGTATCTTTGACATTGCGACTCGTTTATCCATTATCTACAAAAAAAAAGGTACTTTGTATCACAAGGCAATACTGTACGCACCTCTTATCTTGCAGATGTGTCCTTATACTGGAAATCAGGCTATGCAACTTCCAATTGTCAGGTGGCTGCTGCAGGCGAACCTGTGAGAGCATGCTGATGAGAAGCCTCCTCATATCAACCTTCTGAGAAGAACGCACAAATGCCTGGCACTCGAACTGCCGTCCAAGTTTGCGGTACAGCTCGTTGGCAAGCGTGGTCTTGCCAACTCCTCCAACTCCCACGATGGATACCACCTTTAGCTTCTTCTCTCCATCAGCCAGCCACTCCTGGACCTTGTTAATGGCGGCATCGAGACCGACATGCCGGACGCCATCGGCACGCTTTCTGCAAAGCGTGGGATGCCCAGCACTAGTATTGGCTATGCCACCGAGGTCGCTGCTGTACAAGATGGCGTGGCGTTGAAGCGCCTCCTGCACGCGAAGGCTGAATTCTCTGATCTTGTTTGCCATCCACAGGCGCTGCTTTAGCTTCTCTGGAACCAGAGGAGTCTTGCTCCCCACAGGTCGCCGGCTGAACTTACGGCGGCGAATCGTAGATACGCTTGGATACCGGCCGACGGTGGCAGCGTGCTCGTACTGCTCGACTGCATCCTCGTACTGGTCGATGCAGTCCTCGATGTCGTAGGACAGCTCACGCACCTCCTTCGTCCAGCACCTGACCACCATGTCATGGTAGTCCTCCAGTTCCGTGGCATCGCTGTGGTGACCATGGAGGATGGAGGTTATTTCCTCAATATCTTGCCTGATGAGCGGTATCTCCTGGTCTGCTCCCTTGGGCAGGATGTTGCCGTGACGACGCAGGAGTTCATCAAGCCTCCCTGGGAGGTTGACCATGGCGCCTTCCATGGATGTCTTGTCTGAAGACAAATCAAGCTAAGTGTTACAGATATCCAAGGTGTACTTCTAATAAAATCGATGCTGAACAAGAAGCAGATAATAGAAATGGAACGAGATAGAGAGGGATCTGATCACTGAACCTAGAAGTTGAAGGCATCAGATTATCCGAGTAGAATGAGCGAGCTCTCCGAGCAAATGAGGAGGCCGGACTTTGGAGGGACTTCTTCCATTTTGCTTCATTTCCTAGCTTCAAGTCTGACGCTTCTCCCTCCTTGGGGATTTAATTTGAGTTTCTTCGGATGGGACCATTTGTGTCGTGACTAGCAAAGCTGTTGGCCAAACTATGTATTTGGTAGCACCCTTTCAAGATAGTTGCAATATACTATGATGTGATTTAGACACCAATCCTCAAATACCCCTGAAAGTGAGAATTACATTTCAACTCTAAAGCTTCACATAATTTACATTTGTCTCAAAATGCAGAGTTGTCTGAGTAATTGTCACAAATTACACTCTACCTCATATATTAGGATTTACAGATGCATGACACGCTCCACCATGGACAAAAAATTCCATCTTAACTACAAAATTGAATGGCTAATTAAGAGACCAAGTCTTTCACACCATACTATCTCGGTCTCAACATATAGCTATTTATGTCATTTTTTGGAGAGATTAAAGTCGAAGTGATTGCTTAAGATGAGAAAGTAGGTAAAAGAATTAAATGAGAAATGGTTATGATTAGTTGAGATAGGAAAATAGGTGAAGAAGTAGCTATATTATAAGACAAATTTAAATCCTAGATATAGGGGTACATGCATAAAGGAGGAATTAGTAAACAGGCTTTTGGACACACCAAAATAAACATGATTCTTTTCCGCTAAGAGCACATTTATATTGTACTGAAATGCGAAATAAGTAGTGAATTACGAATAAAAAACAAGTAGCTATATTCAGTGTGCATATGTGTATTCCGTGTAATTTATTAAAAAAATCTTCTAGTATTTTTTGGTATGAGGATAATTTACCATCCTTAAGAATATACCAGGAGCAAATTTACATGTAAAATTTGGTATTTTCAAATACTACGTATCTTAAGATACTAAAAATTTTTAATGTAAAATTTAGGTATCTCAAGTTAACCGTAAAATTTCTCCTGGTATAAAGCTGTGGGTTCATCTAAAGTTTGTTTTAAGAAAACACATACCTGTGGCAGTAGATGTTGTGCATCTGATTTTGCACTCAAGTGGGCGTTTCCGCGCATATATACACATACGAATGGTGGATTGTTGACTTGTTGAAGGTTGCAGGTCTGCAGCTGCCGAAGCTGCTGCTGCTGCTGCTGGGTGGATTGGTCTGGAGCCATGGAGTCCGCGGTGGCGAGCGCATTCTTGAAGGCCGTGATGGGGAGGCTGTTCATGGCGCTGGAGAAGGAGTACAGCAAGCACAAGGGCCTCGCGCAAGAAGCCCAGTCCCTCCAGCTCGACCTCCGCATGATCGCCGCCGTCATGGACGACCAGCTCCGCGCCATGGGGAGGGCGACGACGGCCGACGCCCGCACGGCCGTCGCGCGGCTCCACGCCGAGGAGATGCTCGACCTCGCGCACGACGTCGAGGAGTGCGTCGACCGCTTCCTGCACCGCCTCACCTGCAGGCAGCACCGCGGCGGCGCCGGCGCCGGAGCGTCGTCGTCGTCCTTGGTGCGGCGGATGGCGCACGAGCTCAGCAAGGTCCAGAGCCGGTCGAGCTTCGCCGACGAGATCCAGAGGCTCAAGACGCGCGTCAGGGAAGCGCAGCAGCGGATCATCCGCATGAAACCTACTTTGGATGTCCTCGCCGGCGGTGGCGGTGGCGGCGGCCAACTCACAGGCGCTGCCGGCACATCGTCGACGGCGCCGTCGTGCCGCGCGTCGCGCATCCCGGTGGGCATCGCGGAGCCCGTGGAGGAGCTCCTGTCGATGCTGGACGAGGTGGACGGCGAGCCGGAGCAGATGAGGGTCATCTCCGTCGTCGGATTCGGTGGCTCCGGGAAGACCACCCTCGTGAAGGCGGTCTACGATGATCCTCGCGCAAAGGACAGATTCTCCCGCCGCGCGTGGGTCACCGTCGGTAGCTCGCCGTCGCCGGAGACCAGCAATGGGATGAAGGGGATCCTGCGTGCTGTATTCCAGCAGGTTCTTCCCAAAGACGCCATGGATGCTGACGGACAGCATCTTGAAACCTCGCTCAAAGAATACCTGAAGGACAAGAGGTTAGTGCACATTTAACATTTTTCTTTTTTTTTTGAACTACTTTCATATGCAAAATTTAACTTTTAATTGGACTTTTGCTCCTCATTCATCAATTTGACTGTCGTGTGTATATATTGATCAGGGTTCACTGTTTTGGAATCCCAAAAAAAAAATCAGGGAAAGGAAATTTCAGACAAAAAAATAGTTTTGAAAACTTCTTTGCTAAATTCAAACAAATTCTGAAAACAGGCACTCACCGGTGGACACAAATATTTGAATCAAGATTATGAACCCTGTTACCCTGATACTGATCAGCAGAATTTATGTTTTACCACTTAATTTTGCTACTCATTTCTCAATTTGGTTATTAGGTATTTAATTATCATCGATGACATCGGGATGGATCAATGGAACATCATAAGATCGACCTTTGAAGACAATGGTACAAGCAGCAGGATAATACTGACCACAACCATCCAGTCTGTGGCAAATATGTGCAGCCATGGCAATGGCTATGTGTATCAAATGAACACACTTGGTGAAGAAGACTCTAAGGAACTCGCTTTTCCAGGGTTTAGATCACCTGAGTTGGAGCAAGGTTCAGCATCATTATTGGGGAAATGTGATGGTCTTCCTCTTGCTCTGGTCAGTGTCTCCGATTATCTGAAGAGCTCAAATGAGCCCACAGGAGAGCTGTGCGCAAAGCTGTGCCGCAACCTTGGTTCTCATCTGAAAGAGCAGGATGGCCATTACAGCTTTTCAGAACTCAGAAAGGTGCTCCTTGACAACTATGACAGTTTTTCTGGCTATCCTTTGAGCTGCTTGCTGTATCTTGGAATATTTCCAAACAATCGACCACTCAAGAAGAAAGTTGTAATCAGGCGGTGGTTAGCCGAAGGATATGCACGAACCGACTCTCTTCGTAGCGAAGAGGATATTGCTGATGAGAATTTCAGTAAGCTTATTGACCGGAATATCATTCAGCCTGTTGACACAAGAAACAATTCTGAAGTGAAAACCTGCAAAACTCATGGAATTATGCACGAGTTTTTGCTGAACAAGTCCTTGTCACAGATATTCATCGCGAAATCGTCTCGTGATCATCCAAGACTAGGTGTCAATACTAATGCGTGCCACCTTTCTTTTCATTCTGGTGAACTGACAGAGTGTGTGGCATCTGATGAAGAGTTATCTCGTGTCCGGTCTCTGACAGTCTTTGGGCATGCAGGTGATGCAATTTGTTATGTTCGCAGGTGCAAACTGATACGAGTCTTGGATCTACAGGAATGCAGTGATTTGGATGACGATCATCTGAAATACATATGCAAATTATGGCATCTGAAATACCTGAGCTTTGGGAGCAATATCAGTGAGCTTCCAAGGAGCATTGATGGACTGCATTGTTTAGAGACACTGGATTTAAGGAGGACCCAGATAAAGTTTTTGCCCATTGAAGCAATCATGCTGCCCCACTTAGCTCACCTGTTTGGAAAGTTTATGCTTCATGAAGATGATGTGAAGAGTGTGAACAAGATGAGTAAACTACAAAAATTCTTTTCTTCCAAAAAGAGCAATCTGCAAACTTTAGCAGGATTTATCACTGACGAAAGCAAAGGTTTTCTGCAACATATTGGTCATATGAACAAGCTGAGGAAGGTTAAGATATGGTTCAAACATGTCGAAGGCAGCAACAATTACATCGCTGATCTTTCACGGGCCATTCAGGAATTCACCAAGGCTCCCATTGACAGGGATACTGACCGTTCTCTCTCACTTGATTCTGAAGAATGCCCTGAAAATTTCCTGAGTTCACTTGATTTGGAGACATGCTCTGAAGGTTCCAAATATGCTCTGAGGTCGCTAAAGTTAAATGGCGAACTTCACAAGTTGCCTCCATTTGTTAATTTGTTGTCAGGTCTCACTGAGCTTTGCATTTCATCACCTATGCTGACACAGGTTCATCTATCAACGCTGATCAATCTGAACAGACTGCTCTACCTCAAACTGGTTGCATATAAGCTCGAGAATTTCGAAATAAAACATGGAGCATTCCCGAGCTTGCGACGCCTGTGCTTTGTAGTGAAAAGTGTCACTTCAGCTCTGCCCACAATCAAGCATGGAGCTCTCCCAAATATCATATCACTTCAGCTGCTCTGTCAAGGTCCAGTTGGTCTTTCTGGCATCGAGATCAGACACATGAAACATCTCAAGGAAATCACAATTAACTCTGGAGTGGTTGTACAATGGGAACAGGCAGCAAAGAACCACCCAAATAGGCCTAAAGTTTTGTTCCTCAGAAAGGTTGATCCAATGGAAAGCGAGGAACGGGGAAGACCTTGTGCCATAAGGGAGCAGATGAAAATTACTGTAGCTCAACCAACTAGTTCAGGTGATGGACTGAACTCTAGCCTCAATAAGATCAGACTTTCAGAGCCTCCTTCTTCACGACTTGAGATGCCTGTTCGTCATATGGTGGATGGCCACTGAGGCAGCACCCCAGACTTCCTTGGCAAACCTCTAGCACAATATACCACTGCAGCTGGCAGACTTCAATGAAGACCATCCAAATTTTGCTAAAAAAACTTGGAAATCTAGATTGCTGTTCAGTTAAATGGTCCAGATTTCTGTATTTCCGTACTTGTCATGTTATGTGGTTAAGGTTGTAAATTGGCCCGGTTTTTTGTAAGTTCAGGGTGTTAAATAACCATATTTTAAATTCTTAAAATACAATGATCTGTGATTGGAGGTGTGCAATTGACCTCTTGCATAACTAAATCGATCCTGTTTGTAAAAAGTACTTGGTATATTTTGGAAATACCAAAATTATGTATCAAGTGCCGTATGTGAAATTTATTATTTTCGATGAAATAAACAAAATAAAAAAGTTCAAGTAAACTAAAGGACTAGTACTACTTCCTAGTTCTTACGAGGAACGTAAAACACCAATGACATAACCAGGCTGTTTAATCAGTCAAAATTTTTTGAAAATTTTTAATCAGTCAAAATAGAGTTTCCAAGTCATAAATTCTGACAGAACATTTGTTCTCACCATGATGCAACAAAATCAACAGGAGCACACCGCTAAACACATTATTCAGATTCTGCGAGGAGGACTCACCGTCCGTGGCTCCACCGAATCAGGCGGCGCGATGCAGACGAAGGAGGAGGGTTCCCGGCCCGCCACCGTCGGCCCCCGACGAGGACCAAGTCGGACGGACGGAGGAAGAACGGACGGCGGAGAAGACGGGACTCCCCCTCGTGCTCGTCCTCGCACCGAATTCCCTGTTGCTGCGGGATTCCATGGCCTCCCGCTCCAGCGCCACGCCGACGCGCCCGTGCGCGACGGCGGCCGCTCTTCCTCTCCCTCCCCCTCGCCGGCGCCTGGAACCGCAGTGCTGTTGCTCAATGGGCCACATCCTACTTAACTCGGCCCGTTTTGATCGGGTCGCAGCCATCCTATTTCCTGATGGGCCGGCCCAGTATTGTTGGCAATGGTTGCCGGCTGGTGTGTACGCATTCCGGCCCATGCTGGGTCTCTGTCTGTGATTTGTCTAGGGGTCTCACTCTCACAGGCAAATGAGCTTAAGAGCAAGTACAAGTACAATAGGACCAGCTCCAATTATTTCCACGTAATCTAAGGACAAAGCTAAACGCCAGAATATACTGGTAGGTAGTCTCTAATTTATCTTTGTGCCTTTCCATAGCAATAGTATTTTATTCTTTATTTTTCTTCAATTCTCTCTCTTCCTCTGCGTTATCTTCCTCCTATCTCCCAGGTAATATCATTTTTTAAAGAAGGATAGTATACATCAGTAACACGTGGAGGTGATTACTGAGGGGTACAACATGGCACGCAAGAGCTTGCTAAACCGAGGCAGTTTTACTATCATTGTGATCCCCAAGTTTCCAAATAAAACAAAAGTGGACCGACCCGTTTCAGGTTATCAGATGTTTTGATTTTGGTCAAAATCAAACTAATTCAAGTTTGTAGAAAACAATAATAATATTTTCAACTCAACATAAATTTATTATAAAAATATATTCAGCTATTGATTTCATAAAACTAATTTGGTATATAAACTAAGTTAAATTTGAAGTAGTTTGGTTTTAACCAAAGTTAAAACGTCATATAACCTTAAAACGTAGGGAGCACTTGCCATAGCTTCTCTATTAGAGAGGGAGAGCGAGTAGAATTAAAAACCTGGAATGTGATGGCTCGTGCGATGCAATCGCTCCAAGCTGCTGCTTCGCTGAGCTCTCCTGCTCGTGAGTGCAGTAGCCACAAGCTTCGCCAATGGCCAGGACCCAACCTCAATCCTGTCTCCTCCCTTCTCGTTGTCCCCTATCAACATGAAAGGAGGAGTTGTGCGCAACAAGCGCTCGGACGAGCGTGTGTATCAAGGGTGAGTACTACTGACTACTTTTGTTTCAGCCACCGTCGATAAGCCATGGCTACGACCGCTCCTCTCTCACACGTAGCAGGCCCATTTATCTTGAGCGTATGTGTCGCTGGCGACTAATTAGCATTCAAATCTACATGTTCTTCTTATCGTTAGCATTGCGAGCTCTATTATACTTGCTTGAAGCTCAAGCCCATGATTTTGGTAGCCTGGTTGAGGCAACAATTAATTTTAACCACAAAGATAAGTAATATCTGAAGAGGTATGGCTTGTTGAAGAGGTCCAATATACTCCCAAGACAGAAAAAAAAATGATGTGTTTGGAATTATCTGATTCATTATCTAAAAAAAAAAACTATGGTTCTTTACCCTTACCTCTTTCTTCCCCATAATATAACACCCTTTCCTATTGTCCATTTAAAGTATTAGCCTTGATCATAGCCAGTAAGTACCATAACCCTGTTGATGCTGTCGTAAGAGCATCACCAACAGTCCACCAATAATCTATCCCCAAAAATTAATTTTTGTTTCCTAAACTGAAAATAGATGGTGAAAAAACCCCTTACTTCAAGAGATAGCCTAAATTTAATCCCAAAAACTAAAAGTGGAACCTTCTGCTAAACTACCAATAGAAATTCTAGTTTTTTTTCCTTTCCCGTGCGCAGGAGGAGATCGCCCCGACGCGGGGAGGAGAGGAGAAACGCACGGAAGGAGGGAATTGGGAGTTGTTTTCTCGCCCTCAAATACACGTACCTAGAAAATTGGAGATGGGAACTCCAAAACGTCCGGAGCTCTTTTGGGAATCTTTTGGACCAGTTTTTTTAAACCAAAATCCCCAAAAAAATAGGATTGATGATGGAATAGATAGACTGTTGGTGATGCTGTAAATCCGATGTTCTCTGTGAATTTGGGCTCGCTACAGTTGCGCTACCACAGCCACAGCACTACCGGTCAGACCTATTATCCATGATTCGCACTCCATCAACCAATTTTATCAAGAATCATTGCTTCAAAAATAGCCAATTTCGTAGCATTTGTAACGTCTGGGTTAGCGACTAATAATAACAAAAAGAAAAAAAATCATTCTTCAAAAACAACTATTCAAAACTTCCATCAACAATCCAGATCAGCATCCTTCGAGGTCGAAGTCATGTGACTTTGTCACTAACATGTGAGCCCGATGATTCCTGAGCCCACATGTTAATGACAAAGGCAACGTGCATTCGATGGCGGAGAACCTCAATCCCATCCATCCATCTTAGCGTGAGGTTTTCCCCCTTTCAGCTCAGCAGTGAGCCCTCCATCAACAAATCGATCATGGCCACCGTGCGCGCTCTTCGCCTCACTCCAGCCGTCGTGGCAGTGGCCGGTGGTGGTCGGAGACCAGCGGCGCCGAGCACGTCCTGATCGGCCGGTGCTGAGCCGGGACGCCGCCGGCGGGAAGGGACAGCTCGAGCACTTCGTTGCACTCGCCGCACCGTATCCTGGTGGTCCACCTCCTCCTCCGTGGCCGCGGCGGCGGCGGCGTCCGCAGAAGCTCCGAGCACTTGCCGCAGATCACGAATGGCGCGCCGCCCAGGACCGGGCGGCAGGGGTCGGTGCCCTCCCGCCGCGCGGGCGCCGACGGACGCCCGCCGCCGCCGTCGCCGCGGCAGCTGGATGACGACGCCGACGTGGAAGCGGTGTCCTGCGGCGGAAGCGCCCGCTCCAGCTGCGACTCCAGCCGGCGGAAGAGCCGCGAATCGCGCCGCGTCAGGGCCCTCCCGCCGCCGCCGCTCGCCGGGCGCGGCTGCTCGATGGTGACGATCAAGCTGCGGAGGTTGTCCAGCGCGTGGAGGAGCTCCTTGTGAAACGCCGGGTCCATCAGGCGCGCCGCCGCGACGGCGCCTGGCTCATCGGGAGGTCGAGGCAAGCCACCACCACCACCGGACGCCCCGAGCTCCTGCGAGCTCACCGGCGACGGCGACTGCCATGGCCGCCCCTCCTGCGCGTTCCTTGGCGTGTAGAACGCCTCCTCGCTCCGCTCCGAATCCGTCGTCGTCGTCCAGTCAGACGAGCTCGACGGCCGCCTCGTCCGCCTCGACAACGGCCGGACCTCGTCGGCGCGCCGGTCCGACCCGGCGTCCTCCGGCTCGTCGGAGAACACCGACGCGGTGTCGGCGGAGAGGATCTCCAGCCTGCTCAGCGCGTACTCCGCCTCATCCGTCGGCTCCGGGTTCTTGCCTGCGGAGACAGCAAAAAAAAAAAAAAAAAACACCAAGAAACACCACAGCTTCTGGGCGTCAGATCCATGGCGACTAATCAAGCACAGCTGAGATTCCATGGCGGGCGAGGCACCTCGGATCGGAGTGCGGCATCTGCTGCAGTAGAAGATGACGGCCTTGGGGTTCTGGTAGATCATGGCGCGGCAGTACGGACACCGGCCGAACCGCATTTTCACCTCCTCCGACTGCATCGCCGCCGCAGAACTTCTCCGACTACCAAAGCATCGATCAGAAATTTCGTCAGAGAAGAAGGCGTTTGATCAACAGCAATCAATTCGGCCGGTGAGATGCATCTTGATTCAAACCTGAAACCCCCCCAAATCAATGCATTCTTTATGCCAAGGTCAAGTCAATCAACTTCAGCTCGCTAACTGAATATAACTGCTAATTACGACTCCTCATTAAGACATTGACCAATTGCAGTGGAATTGACTGCTTCATAATCATTTACCAATCCCCCAAAACAAAAGCTGCGATGAACATTGCTACGCAAGGACATGCCGGGAAAAAGGACTCATTGACCTCTAGCGAAGATGGGAAATGGTGATGAGAAATTGGAGATTGACGCTGTCTCGACATGAACTTTAGTACGGGGCTACGGCGACAGTGGGCATCCAGTACACCCGTGCACGGGAGTAAACTGTTGCAACTCAAGTTAGGTTTTTTTTCGACAATAAACATCTCGTGGATTGAGAGTTCAGATTGGTTTCTTGCACAGACTAATTGCAGAGCAACAAGAAGATTGGGGGAGAACATGGCACTATAATCAAATTAAAATATACCAAAATATCAAATTAAAGAAAAGAACAGGGAAACCCACTAGATCCCTGAAAAAAAACTGAATCTCACCTAGCTGTCAGAATCTTCAGAGCCCCTCTGATTCTTCAGCTCGGCTTCTCAGACACGAGATAATAACTGAATCGAGCCATGGAAGAAACAGGAGGAAATACGGGGGAGGAAGAAAGAGTCTTGAGCCAGCGAAGACACAGCGTACAATCCGAGGAAATATTTTACTAGTACAGATCGTGAACTGAAAAGGGCATCGTTGGAAAGATGGGATTGGAGCACAGCATTGCCGCTTAAAGAAAAACTGTGATTTTAATTGGTCAATTGCTTGTTCCAGTTCACTGAATTTTCTATCTTGGTACAATACTAGGTGTGCAGTTTGCTTTAAAAAAACTAGCATAGTGGCCCGCGCAGATTGTGCGGCTATCATCATTATATTTTCTCTCATTTAATAGCATATATGTTTTCTCATTATATTATTCAAATATACTAAAATAACAACATAATTTTAAATTTTGCAATAACTTTATAAAACTAGTAATATTCATATTATATTTTATATACGTGTTAGTTATTAATTATTTTTAATATCAAATTTTAGTTATTTGTAAATTATATATATTCCTATATGGACTCTAGACTCGTCTTTTAATATTTCTTTTTTTAATTCCGAATTTTCTATAAATTGTATTTCTATATAGACTCTATGCTCTTCTTCCAATATTATTTATTTTTATTTCTAAATTTTCATATTATATTTTATATGTGTGTTAGTTATTAATCATTTTCAATATCAAATTTTAGTTATTTGTAAATTATATATATTCCTATATGGACTCTAGACTCGTCTTTTAATATATTTTTTTAATTCTGAATTTTCTGTAAATTGTATTTTTATATAGACTCTATGCTCTTCTTCCAATATTATTTATTTTTATTTCTGAATTTTCATATTATATTTTATATACGTATTAGTTATTAATTATTTTTAATATCAAATTTTAGTTATTTGTAAATTATATATATTCCTATATGGACTCTAGACTCGTCTTTTAATTTTTTTTTTATTCTAAATTTTCTGTAAATTATATTTCTATATAGTCTCTATGCTCTTCTTCCAATATTATTTATTTTTATTTATGAATTTTTATTATTTCTAATTGTATTTCTATGTGGACTCTAAACTCATCTTTCAATATTCTTTAATTTTTAATTTCGAATTTCAGTTACTTCTAAATTGTATTCCTATATTTGTGTTCCTATATTGACCTTAAACTCTTCTTCCCATGTTTTTCTTAATTTTGAATTTTAGTTATTTATAAATTGTATTTTTATACGGACTCTAAACTCTACTTTTAATTTTATTATGTTTATTCCAAATTTGAGTTAGTTTTAAATTGCTATATGGACTCTATACTCTACTTCTAATATTCCCTATTTTTTAATTCCGAATTTCTATTTTTTTTCTTAATATTATCTCTATATGGACTCTATACTCTACTTCTAATATTTCTTATTTTTAATTCCAAATTTCTATTATTTCCTAATTGTATTTCTATATGGACTCTATACTCTACTTCTAATATTTCTTATTTTTAATTCCGAATTTCAGTTATTTCCTAATTGTATTTCTATATGGACTATATACTCTACTTCTAATATTCCTTATTTTTAATTCCGAATTTCAGTTATTTCCTAATTGTATTTCTATATGGATTCTAGTCTCCTCTTCTAATATTCCTTATTTTTTAATTCCGAATTTAAGTTATTTCCTAATTGTATTTCTATATGGACTTTAGTCTCCTCTTCTAATATTCCTTATTTTTTAATTTCGAATTTCAACTATTTCTAAATTGTATTTCTATATGGACTTTAGTCTCCTCTTATAATATTCCTTATTTTTTAATTCCGAATTTCAGCTATTTCTAAATTGTATTTCTATATGGACTCTGCCTTTTCTTTTTCTCCAATTAATGTGAGAATTTCTAGGCCATGAGAGCGAACGTGGAAGCTCCTTTTTCTATTCCTTTAATAATATAATAGATAATTGGTGATTTTGTGTATGTAAAAGTGTAATACTACTACTCCCTCCGTTTCAGTTTACAAGACGTTTTGACTTTGGTCAAAGTCAAACTACTGTAAGTTTGACAAATTTTATAGAAAAATATAGTAATATTTTTAAACCAAGATTAATATATTATGAAAATTCATTCAATTATAGATTTAATAAAAGGTAAAATTTGCTTCAGGACATCTAAAAAATGTGTAATTAGCTGCACATTTTTTGGATGTCCTGTAGCAAATTTTGCCTTAATGAAACTATACTGATGTTGTAAATATTATTACTTTTTTCTACAGAATTAGTCAAATTTAGAGTAGTTTGACTTTAACCAAAGTCAAAACGTCTTGTAACCTGAAACGGAGGGAGTAGTTTACTACTACTCAATTGATGACTTTTTAAGATGGAAGTCAACGGAAGCTAATCAGTAAGCAAGTAAATTTGGTGGTCTAGTTGTGATGTCGGTCAGTCTTAAGTTGATCACTAACTTTACTTTGATATATTCTTAAGACTGAGCTTTGTACTCTTTGCATATGATCAACCTTACCTACCACAAGTAGGTAAGGTTTCGCAGCAGTGTTCTCGTGTGACATCTTCTCCAAAATAATCTTGAAAGTGGTGTGCAAAAATGTGAACATTAGTCTTTCAAGTTTAGCAATCAACTTTGACTAAATTAATTGTGTTAACCAATCAAAGGAAACTCATATAACATATTTCCTCGTTAATCACAAATTTTTTTAGGCAAGTGAAGAACAACTTGCAGTTGCAGCCTCTGGTCTACAGAAAAAAACAAATCTTATGATCAGGTATGTGTGCTGCAAGGGCCCAGCTCCAACGGCCCAATCCAAATGCAGCTGCAAAGCCTGCAAGCATCAGCAACCTCCATTTCTTTTTAAAAAAAGCATCAGAAAAAAAATATAAACAAAAAATGTTAATTGCATTATCCCACTTGCATTATCCTCCGCCCGCCACGTGTCCCGTCTCCCAGCCTCAGCTCGAGCTCGCCACCTGCTCGACCCGAGTCCTCTCCTTCGCTTCGCCGCTGCTGCTGCTGCGGGCTCGCTTGGGATGAGAGCCCCCTCCTCTCCATGGCCTCCTCCCTCCTCCTGCCTCGCGCCACCTTCGCCGCCACCACCAAGCACATCGCCGTCCTCCACCCGCCCGTCGCATCCGCCTGCAGGCCCCACCCGCCCAGGCTGATCAGGTGCGGCGCCGCCGCCGTCCCGGACGACGAGCTCCTCCGCTCGCTCTACCTCGTGCAGGCCGACGCCGCGTCGCCGGTGGTGTCCGCGGACACGGGCAATGATGGATGGGCCGCTCTCCTTGACGAGATCAGGGGCTCCCTCCAGGCGGAGGACTCGTCGTCGTCCATCCCGGCGGCGACGAGCGGTGGCGTCGTCGTCCCCGACGAGCTCCTGACCGCGCCGCCGTCCGTCGTCATCCCGGACGAGATCCTCGGCGCGGACCCGTCGTCAACCCTGCAGGCGCCCGGCCCCGGCGGCGGCGCCATCCCGGAGGACCTTCTCGCGGCGCTGCACCTGGACGCGTCGAACCCGGTGGTGCGGGCGGCGTGGGGGGCGCTGTCCCGCCTCGACGAGCTGACGTCGGGCCTCTCGGGGCCGCAGCGGTGGGCGGCGGCGGCGTTCGCGGCGGCGACGTGGGCGTACCTGACGGCGCGGCCGGGGGTGCTGAGCGGGGCGGTGGACGCGTACGTGCTGGCGCCGCTGCAGCTGGCGGTGGACAGCGCGGTGGGGCGGCGGAGCCTGAGGATGAGCGACTTCGTGGTCGGGGAGCGGATCGGGGAAGGGTCGTTCGGGGTGGTGTACTCCGGCGCGGTGGTGCCCCGGGGCGGCGCGGCGCCGGCGGCGAGGAAGGGGAAGGCGAAGACGAGGCTGGAGCTGGACGAGAGGTACAAGGAGAAGGTGATACTGAAGAAGATCAAGGTGGGGACGGCGGGGGCGAAGGAGTGCGGCGACTACGAGGAGTGGTTCAACTACCGGGTGGCAAGGGCGGCGCCGGAGTCGTGCGCCGAGTTCCTCGGCAGCTTCGTCGCCGACAAGACCAAGTCCGAGTTCGTCAAGGGCGGCAAATGGCTCGTCTGGAAATTCGAGGTAAATTCGACATCAACTCATCAGTTAATGCTTGATGCTAGTATGAACTGCTGCAACCACATGCAGCACAGAAAATTAGTAGTAGTAACAACAATTTTAGGAATCACTAAGCTTTTTTTTTTTTTACGCAAAAAGGTAGAGAGTCTCTATCTTATATTCCATTATAGAAATGGCGGTCAAAGTACATGGCCAAATGGCCAAAGAAAGGTAAAAGGAATACAGAAAAAAGGTTACACTGGAAATGGAAGAAGGAGAAAGGAATCACTAAGCTAGCTTATAGCATGCAAAAATCTCAACAGCCTTTAAACTTTAAACCCAAAATTTGAACTGCTTTTATATTTTAAACTCGGTAATATGAAGTTTTCAAGCTTTTTAAACGCAAATGAGACATAATCCACTCTGTGATACAAAACTTTGAAAGAATCACCAAGCTTACACTACGCAAAAAAGTTCAATAACTTTGTGATACAAAATTTTCAAGTTTTTAAGCCCAAATGATTCAAAAAATTAAACCCAAACGAAATGCAATATGATTAAAAAAAAGATAAATTGGCCCATGCAGGTCTCGAACCTGCGACCTTCGCGTTATTAGCACGACGCTCTAACCAGCTGAGCTAATAGGCCTTGTTCTTTTATATTTGAAAAAAAACATTCAAATTTTTTAAACATGATTTCTGGCGCGAATTCATGGCAGGGTGACCGGACGCTGGGCAACTACATGAGCGACCGCAACTTCCCCTTCAACCTGGAGGGCCTCATGTTCGGGCGCGCCGTGCGGGGGCTCGACGACGGCAGCCGCGCCGCGCTGGTGGTGAAGCAGGTGATGCGGCAGCTGGTGACCTCCCTGAAGCGCATCCACGGCACCGGCATCGTCCACCGCGACATCAAGCCGTCCAACCTCGTCGTCACCCGGCGGGGGCAGGTGAAGCTCATCGACTTCGGCGCCGCCACCGACCTCCGCATCGGCAAGAACTACGTCCCCGACCGCGCCCTCCTCGACCCGGACTACTGCCCGCCTGAGCTCTACGTCCTCCCCGAGGAGACGCCCCAGCCGCCCGCCGAGCCCATCGCCGCCATCCTCTCCCCGATCCTCTGGCAGGTGTCGAACACCTCACACCTTCTTCTTCTTCTTCCTCTCCGTTCAATCTTGCGCCGCCGTCGATCACCGTCGTCGCGTTGCTGTTTCTTGGCTGAATGCAGATTAACAGCCCGGACCTGTTCGACATGTACTCGGCGGGGATCGTGCTGATGCAGATGGCGTCGCCGATGCTGAGGTCGCCGTCGGGGCTCAAGAACTTCAACGCCGAGCTCAAGGCCGCCGGGTACGACCTCAACCGGTGGCGGGAGACCACGCGGCGGAGACCCGACCTGCAGATCCTCGACCTCGACTCCGGCAGGGGGTGGGACCTCGCCACCAAGCTCATCTCGCAGCGCGGCGCCGACAAGCGCGGCCGCCTCACCGCCGCCGCCGCCCTGCGCCACCCTTACTTCCTCCTCGGCGGCGACCAGGCCGCCGCCGTCTTGTCCAAGCTGTCACTCAGCAAGTAGGTTATACAAAACAACTCAATGCACAAAATTAAGAACACATGCAGTGATCAGGTCACCACTCACCAATGGCATTAGCATTTTTGTTTATGATCCATTGGAGAGATCAAGAACTCAAGATTGATCCAAGAGAGAGGGAAAAGGAGGAGGAAGAAACAATATGGTAATATATAATTACATTGTTTTGTATGAGGTTAATCACTTTGAACAGTGCGGTGCAGAGTTTGCAGACACTAGCTAACTTAACTTAATTACTGCCCGTATTCGGACTGAACTCTACTGAGAAATCCCTACTTCTGTTGGTCAGCTTCTTGCAACCTATGTAGATTTCTGAACTGTTTCTTCAGCCAATCCAGTACTTTGATTCGACAGAGAGCTCATTCTACTGATTTGGCTCACCAATTTCTTAATTAGACAGCAAACCAAAAAAAAATGCTTATACATCATCATATAACTTTGGCCGGTTAAGCTGTTCGAACTTTTCCTGAAGATCTTCATGGTTGCCTCCAACAAGCTTATCAATCTCCTCATTGTTTTTCATGAAGATGAACGTTGGGGTTGCACGCACATCGTATTGCGTCACCAGCTCCTGACGAATCAAAGTAAAAATGCCATTCATCTTTGTTATCTGTTGCCACAAAAAAAAAAGTGTACAGAGAGCAAAATGGGCGGCAACTGGAAAAAATTCAGAATATTGGATGTACCGGCATTTCGTCTACATCCACGGACACGAAAACAATGTCAGGATACTTCAGTGAAAGTTCAGCGAATAGAGGGGCAGCATTCCTACACGGAGTGCACCAAATTGCACTGAATTTTAGCACAACCTGTTCAGAGGGACATACCACCATGGTTAACATAAACAGCTATGCTTTCATCATATATAGTCAGACAATTGATCAACATCTTACTGTTTTGCCATGCTCAGCTACTTCTTCCATTGTATTGTCCCAATTCTTTTGATCAGTTACCAAAGTCACATTTCCGCCACTGTAGTCCAGGTGCTCCTCGGCGTCTACAGTGCTCTGAAAAAAAAATAGAAGCATAATGCAGGTCCCCTAATTATGAGCTTGAAGATGCAAATAATAAGCAGCACTACTTGTCTGTGGATTGGGGCAGTGCAGTATATTGTAATGTCTAGTTCAATAACCACAATATGAATTGTACTGGAGAAGGAGATTATTTACGCTGCCACAGCAACCCATCGACTTGAGAAAATTCGTCAAGATGCAAGTGTCCTCTGCTCCACTGATGAAAAAAAAAATCGGGAACAATATTCAGTACTGGTGTCAATGCCGCTAAGCCAAGAAAAAGAAGAGGTCACACAAAACATTAACCTGGATGTTTTGATGGAAAAAGAAAGTCACATTCATGTAAATAAGCTCCTACTTCCTCTATCCCATAATATAAGGTATACATACATTTCAAGATTCAACTTTAAAAATATTTGACTATAATATAAATTAAATTTTATTTGCTAAAATTAATATCATTAGATTGGCATTTAAATTCACTTTAAGATGGTTATAATTTTGTTGTAAAAAACTTATAGTATATGAGAAATTATAGGTCAAATATTAGTTTTAAAGACTGTGCCAAGTTTGACCATGCTTTATATTATGAGATGGAGAGAGTTTTTTTTTCTAGATGGGACAAGATCCTGTTCATGGTAGTGATCTGGTTAAGGGGCAATTTCGTTCTTGCCCCTACTTTCATCTTCAATATTGATTTTACCCCTGTTTTTTTAGGGTTTTCGTTTTTACCCCTACTTTTTTGAAATTAAAGCAAATTTTACCCCTACTTTGGATGGACATATTGACGGTGTTACATCTCTGGCGAAAAGACAATCATACCCCTATTTGATATTGAATATTTGTCTGAATGTTTATTCAATAATTGTGTATTTGCCCCCATTTTTACATTGCATTTTTCACAAACTTTTGCAAATATGACAATTTTTTATAGAAGATTAAAATTTTTGACATAATATAATTTTGCGACAAATTTGATAAAATTTGTATATTTTGCAAAAGAAAAAAAAAGACAGAATTTGGGCATGGTTTTTACACAGCTAACAAAAGACATGTAATAGCAATCATCACAAAATCAAGCAAATCCAAATCATGAGGTCAAAAAAATCCAATCTAGTAGCATGTTGCTTCTTCCTATTGCCAGGTTGGTGCTGCTTGCCGCAGCGTGCACCTCCGGCCGTCCGCCGCGCCCGGCCTGCTCGCCATCAGCTTGCAGCGCCCCTGAGACCTGCTCGCTGCGCGCGGCCTGTTGCTTGGCGTGCTAGCCGCCACCGCTTGGCCGGGCCACTGCCGTCGTCGCCTTCCCGCATGAAGCCGCCGATGCCTAGCTGAGACGCCGCCGCCGCAAGCTCCTCACGATAAGCCGCCACCGCCTGGACAAGAGCCCATCGTCCTCTCGTCCCCTTGTCGAGCCGCAGTCGCCTGGCCTGCCTCGACACGCGCGGCCTTCTGCTCGTCACCATAGGTGGGATTGGGGAAGGCAAGGACCGGCATTGTTTGGTTATGGCTCACCAGGGGTATAAAGGTCCATCAACGAATTAAAAATCATTACTTCTTTTTTTTCTCTACTTCTTCAGCTCCATAATCCCAGGTTGACTAACTTCTGTTAAAAATAGTGGTAAACGTCTACTTCATTTCCAAAAATCAGGGGCAAAAATAAAAACATTAAAAAATAGGGGCAAAATTGATATTGGATATCAAAATAGGGGTAAGAATGAAATTATCCCTTTGGTTAAAATACTATTGACGTCAGCTCCATTGTTTGTTTGTTGACTTATTAGTCGTAGCCAAAATTTAAGTTTTAAAACTTAATTTTAGAGTTGATTTTGAAGCTTTTTTCATCGTAGTTTATTTTTGAACGCTAGCTTTTAATTGCGAAGAACACAAATGCAAAAGTTTTTACCCATAAATTATCTTTAGTTGCTTCATTCACATCCCCACAGCTTATCAGCCATAGAGCAAACGATGTATGCAGTCACTTTTAACTTTGTATAGACGTTTAATGTTTATGTAAACCTTCAATAGCATTTAAAATTTTAAATACATGTTCAATACTCATTTGATAATTTGAACTAAAAAAAGTAGAAATAAACCGTCAAACTGTTTTGTGACGTAAATCAAGAGACCATATTTCACATCATGTCCCATAAAAATAATTCACACCATGAATGTAAATTAATTTTGCCAGGATCACGGTCCAATCACCCAATCACAAATAACCTACGAAATTTATAGAGCAATATTTTTTACTGGGTCGGCTAAAATGTTATTAAGATTAGAGGGGAAAAGAGAAGATGGCTTTTCTGGTTTCCCAAATCTCTCACATGAGCAAAGATAATGATTGGTGACATAGACGATATGGAAGGAGCGAAACAATAAGGTTTTTAGGGCCCCTTTGAATCGCAGGATTGAGAAAACATAGGAATAGGAAAAACGTAGGATTTTGATAGGAATGTAAGTGTAAAACAGAGGATTGCAAAACGCAGGAAAAACACAGGAATGACCGTTTGATTGAATCATAGGAAAAACACAGGAATTGGATGAGAGAGATATACTCAAAGGAAAGTTAGCAAGAGGTTGAAGCTCTTGCTAAATTTCCTCCAAAATCTCTATAGGATTGTCCATTACATAGGAATTTCAAAGGATTGGATAGGATACAATCATTTGTTTCAAAGGGCTTCATAGGAAATTTTCCTAAAATTCCTATATTTTTCCTCCAAATCAAAGGGGCCCTTAATGGCCAATGCAAGACCATACAGGAAATAGCGAAGCTAGCGGCATCGGGGGGCCACGCTCTCAAGGGAGACAGGAGCACCCGCCCATCTAGGTGGAGCATTTGGTCGTCAAATTGTTCCGCGAGCTATCAATGTATTGTTTCCCCGCCCCCATTTTATTCTTTCCTTTCTCTCTGTAATAACTTTTTTTTAATCTTAATACAAAAGATACACATTTTGCGTATCCTTTAAAAAAAAAAGAGAGAGACGAACGGAAGGAAGATAGCATTTCCGGCCGGTTTCCCCAATCTCTCAAATCATGCAGCAGCAATTCGCTATACAACGATGAACACATTGTTCAGAGAGGGGGCGTACCTCTGCAAGAGCAAAAGGGCAAGAAAAGTTTGGCTCGCCGTCTGCTTGGTTCTGCGCCGAGCACGTCGGCCGTGCGTCGACGGCGGCGGCGGCGGCCCCCGGCGGAGGGGTGGGTGGCACGGGGATGGCGCCGGGGCTAGCGAAGGGAACGGGCGGCCGCCATGCCCACCCTGGGAAGCGAAGCTCCTTGTCAACCGCTGAAACGACGGCCTGACGGTCGCTAATACCGGGGTGGATCGCCAGCAAATCTGCAGGAGAGAATAGCTAAAATTAGCCTTCCTTTCACCGCTATCTCCCTTCAGATTCCACGCCGGCTTAGCTACCAAACTGATCTGCAATGCCAGTGGCAGCTTGCCATTGCCAAGCAAAAAGAAAACAAAAAATAAAAATAAAAGTTGTACAATTGCATTGTCAAGAGAGAAGCAATTCCAGAACCAGTTGTCCCAAGAGTATCTCTACTTTATGTTCTTCTCTTTTTCTGAGCCAAATACACAAAGGTGTTTTCAAGCCAAAGGAATGTGGCAAAGCTGGAAGTTCATTCATTCAATACAACAAACCCCAAAGAGTTTTACATGATAGGACCATGTCACCCAGTGATGATCAGTAGAGCTACTGGAAATTAAACAAACACAATGACTAACATCACATTTCTTTCAAGAAAAAAAAGAGTGAGAGAAGGAATCACAGCACAGAATGAAGAATGAATAATGAAGAAGAAGAATCACTAAAGAATGATCAGAAAATCAAACAGAAAAAGATTCACTAGACACATTGCTACCAACAACCTTCAAGGTAGAAACTATTGAACCTATTTTTGTCTCAGTGGCATGTTGTTATTTCTGTGCCATCAGGTGATCTGGATTGCTTCCTCCTTTAGCTTGTCCTCGGGGGATAACCTCGTCCCCGAGGAGGAGTTCCTGATCTCCTCAATCCTCCTTACCACTTCCTCCATCCGAGGCCGCTGGTCGGGAACAATTGCAACGCATGCCATGGCGAGCTGGAGCATCTGAACCATTTCATCCTCGCTGTTCGGATGCCTCAACAGGTCGGCATCGAAAACCTCGGAGGTCCATTCTTCTCGAACCACGGATTGCACCCATCTTGGGAGGTGTTCGATGGAATCCTCACGGCCTGGGGATCTAAGAGGAGCTTTTCCTGTTAGCATCTCAAGGAGTAGCACACCGTAGCTGTAGACATCGGATTTCTGCGTTTGCCTTTTGGTCTCAAGGACCTCCGGTGCACGGTATCCAATGAGCCGTGCTGGGATATGAGGGATGGCCATGAGCTGCGCAAGGCCAAATTCGGAGATACAAGCACTGAGTCCCTGCGAGAGAAGAATATTACTTGACTTGATGTTTCCATGGATGAACTTTCCACCCCCCTCAGCATGAAGATGAGCAATCCCACGTGCAGCTTCCAGAGATATCTTTACTCTCGTTGCCCAATCCAATGTAGTTCTTCCAGCAGTTCTATTCCCTGAATATTTACCATAAACAGTAGGTCAGATCATGTGCGCTTTCATAGCAATACATGTACACATAAAAGGCAAGTTATTCATGAATTCATACTTCCAGACAATACGTTTGCAAATATGTTGTGCAGCCTGTACTACTTTCATGTATTTTTCTTCACAGGATATCAACCAAGGACCAAGATGCAGTATACCTCCAGAATGCATACGTCTTCTAGTCAGTTTTTTTTTAGAAAATAAATTTCCTAGCCATCAAATTTAGAAAAATAATTGGTCGGTTTGCAATAATAGCTTGTTCGAAACTACATGATTTTGTACATCCATAAAATCTAAAAGTGTATCAGGTAGACTCACTATGACATGCTTGTAAAGACAACATAAGAAAAGGAAAAGGTTGTTAGACATAGTTCAATACAAAAAAGGATAAAATTTTGGTCCTTGAGGAGGTAACAGGAGGTACCCCATTCATTTTCTAGTGTCAGGAAGTAAAAACTTTATACTACAAAAATAGAGGACTGCAAAATAACTCATCAAAAAAGAGTGAGCATTCTATATTTGCTTGCACGCCTATATGTAGTTAAAACCAGCTAATAAATTCACTTTGCACAAACAAAACAGGTTCTGTCAGGCAATGAAAGGCTTAATGATTTGAAGTAATAGCATACCATGCAAAGCAGCACAAAGGCTACCAGGTGTCATATAGTCATACACCAAAAGCTTCTCGTCCTTGGAGTAATAGTAAGCACGCAATTGAACAGCATTTTGGTGCTGGCCAACTCTGCCGATTATCTCCATTTGCTGTTCAAATTCCCTCTTTCCTGCGACCACTTCCTTCAGTCTTTTAACTACCACGGTTGTGCCATCCTCAAGAACAGCTTTATAGGTAGTCCCATAACTTCCTTTTCCAAGGACTTCAGCTGAGGCCCTCAATAGATCCTCCAGGTCAAAATTATACGAACAGCCATTAAAGAAAATCAATTTATTCCTCTCTGCTTCTTGAATACCACTACTGCTGTACTCCTGCTTTGATTTTTCAGCTCTTCCACCTGCAGCAGCCTTTCCTTTGGATGAAAATGAAGCTATGCCAGGCTCGCCATCTTTCTTTCTTTTGAAGATGCATATCAAGAGCACAACAATCAAAATCAGAAGTAATAACCCTCCTCCAGCAGCTATTGCAATTATGACACCAAGGCTAAGCCTTTTCCAGAAGCTTTTCTTGGTATTTGGGGGCAATGGCGACATCGGAGAAGGAGAAGGTGCTGTTCCTGGACATGGTTCCAGTGGAAGTCCACAGAGAAAAGCATTCCCGAAGAATGAACTGGCTGGGAATTTCTGCAGGGAAGGCGGTATGGGCCCACTCAGGTTATTGTTGCTTAAATTTAAATGTCTCAAATTGGGGAGGTGAAGGTCAGGGATGGGTCCAGAAAGAGAGTTATTCTGGAGGAGCAATGCAGTAAGTTGAGTGATATTTTGCACTTTCAATGGGATTTCTCCATCGAAAGAGTTGTACGACAGGTCTAGGAATGTTAGGTTGGAAGATAGTGAAGTTGGTATAATTCCGGACAAGTTGTTGTGCTGAAGGTAAAGAGAATGCAGGGAAGGAATGGATGCTACATCAGGGGGGAGGCTAATGGTGAGACGATTGGATCTAAGGCTCAACACCTGTAGCGCGTCAAGCTTGCCAAGTGTGTCTGAGGGGATGGGACCAAAGAGCCCTACTGCAGGTAGACGCAATTCACGAACACGCCTCCCATCTGGTGTGCATGTAATCCCAACCCACGATGTGCAGACTTGAGTCGTGAGAGTCCAGTTGAGTTTTCGACCATGGGGCACTGATGCAGCAAATGCAAGAAGGGCCTGCCTGTCTGAGTTTAGGTCAGCACATCTGGCACAAGGGATGTGCAGAAACAAAAACGAAGCAGAAAGAAAGGCTATGAGCACAAGGTGCTGCATTGTTAGGATTAACTTGACCAATAATGAGGACCAGAATTATAATCCAAAGGTCCACGTCAGTGCTTCATTCCTGCCACATTAAAAGGATCATAGTCAATAGCAAGTAAGATTGTTCATAGCATCAGGAGTGAGAAACATAGAAATACATGAAGCGTTAAATATTAAACACATGTTATTTGCAAAGTGGGAAAACTAGTAAAAACATAAGGTATTTTGAATACAAAACATGAAGCCATGAAGAATTTAAACTTTCTAGTGGACATGTATCTTCTTTTTAACTAAGAACCTACCTGAAAAGATACATCCTTGCAACGATAGCTTTTCTGTTTGTCATTGTAACGATTTGTAATGGACCCAAACACACATATGTACGAACTACCTTAAGGAGCAGTGGAGTTTGATGCACTAAATTTGCATTCGTCCATTTACAATTTACCAGAAGCATTTCAATTTTTTTACTATTCATATCAAGGGTGGCTTAAGAGCATTGATCCATTGAGTATCAGATTCCTGGTCCTGCTAAGGAATACAAACAAATATGCTGCCAGAATGGCATCCATTGCAGGGCCAACATGATCAGAGAGAGATTGAAGAATTTGCATGCGAGGGAAGACTGAAGAGTCTACATACCCTAAGCTATCTCTCAGCATAATCAGGAGCCCACTTGGCAACTTTGAATCACAACTGATTGTTATTATTGACACCTAAAGCTGGTGTAAGCTCATAATGCACATTATTGGAATAAAGCATAGAGTGATAAATTGAAGAGAAGATGACAAAGTACTGGTCCTCTCTTTTATATGTAAAAGGGGACCACCAAATTCTCAACTGCTACACAGCAAACCCCCCTCCCAAATGGAACACCAAAACAGAATAACCCTCCTTGTTTTTTCTCTAGTCTTGTCCAAAAGATCCACACCCAAACTAATATTGCCGGTTTATCTCGAGCTTTTCTGAAATGGAGCGGTTGGGACCATGTGCCATATAAAACGAAACATGTATCTCTTTGATAAAGTACCCCATCCACGTTAACCTTTTCACAAAGGATAGCTCCATTAATTCTCTTAACAAAATAGCCGCGGCACCTAAACAGTGCACTTAATCGTAACCAGAAAGGACACAAGGATAGTGACAATGAACAAGACACCGTTCCAATCGGACATGGCATAGCACATTATATTGGTGCTCTCTCTTGCAAAGATGTTACTTGCACAAAAGCAACATGCAAAGCACCTAACGTAGGCTCAGTCACTACTACTATATCTCATTTCAGCTCGTTCTTTTTTTCTAAAATCTAGAGGACCAAGTGCTTTGGGTAAAGGCAGGAGCACGAAACCAAAAGTCCAGCACATAAAGCAGGTGGTCTCAAGATGCAAGAAACCAGAGGGGAGTAGAAAAGATGAGGGTTTTGGAGGCAGGATTGGGGATCTGCTCGCTGATGGGGGAGATCATGGGCAGCACTGCACACTCTGGCACAGTGCTAGGGCCAAAGACATCTCACATTCACACCATAGGACAAATGTGCAAAGCAAAAGCTACCACTGTCTCACACTACGCAACAGTAGAAGTGTACCACAGTACTGCTCCTCTGCTTGACATGTTGTAAAGATTTTTCATGTGCAGTAAATCCAACTTGGGAATTGCACTAGTAAAATTTTTCATTGTATTGAGTTAGTAGTACTGTTTAAAATATATTCTACATTTCTAAGTTACTACAGTTCAGCAATGGTCAGTGGAATGAGTTGGTAACTAGATGGAAGCCAACAATACCATTAGTTAATCATGGAATCACACTAGAAATAGAGAGAGTGCCATGGTCAGGTAGATTCAAAGTGCAAAGTCCTTAAACACTAAGAAAAGGACTACGCCCATATAATCTCCTTTTCCTTTTTTTTTCTAAAAGAAAAAAAGAAGAAGAAGAGAGCACGCGTCAAACAACCAACCAGCCTATCACACGAAAGAGAAAGCAGGGAACAGTTTGTTACAACTTAGAACAGAAATCAGATGAACAATCTACATTATATACTCAACCAAAATTTCCTCCCTAAAAAGAAAAATCAGTTTTCCTTTTCATTTTTTTTACAGTATAAGCAGGAACTGGGAATCACTGAATTATGCCATATCATACCTCGCGAAATTCCACCGGAGTTGCGGCCACAGCTGAATTCCGCAGCAGCCATGCCATGCTCGGTCTCCAAAAGGCTCAACAAACGCAGAAAAAAAAAGAAAGAAAATAAATCCGACCTTTCCGGCCACACGGATCAAGAAACCGCCCGCCGCCGCGCCGCCGCCGCTCGCCTCTCCGGTGCGGAAACCCCTTCCAGTCGCCGCCGGCTTAACTAGGGCGAGAGCCACTCAACACAGCGTCAGAACCACCCCCACCAAGAACTGCTCCAAGAAACAACGCCCGCCCCGCCGTGGCCGATCCGCCGCGCCCGGCATTCCCTTCCCCGGCCCCCGCGCGTCGACCCTCCCGCAGCCCGCCGGCCGGTCACCTCCCTCTCGCTCGCTGCGCCGCCTCCTCCCAGTCTCTGTGCAGCGCGTGCGCGGGCGCGAGTGGACGAAGTGGCGGACGTGTGCACTGTTCGCGCGGGCGGTGCGGGTGCGCGAGGCGAGCGAGCGAGCGAGTTTTCGCTGCGCATTTAAGACAAGTGAAGCGTGTGTGCGCGTGGTAACGATTAGCGTTGGGGGGTTTGGAGGAAGGGAGAGCTGTGGCAAAATGGCGGATTTGCCCCTAGACGTGGCGAGGCCAGAGAGGATCAGAATCGTCTGCAGTCGACTGCACTACGCCTTTGTTATTAATTTATGAGTTTAGAGATTATCGGATCCACATGTTAGCGATAAAGGTATGGAACATCGGATCTTGCAATTAGCTGCAGAGGATGGTAGAGAGTGGAGAGGAAGAGGACCTATATGTTCGTAATAAAGGCACGGTATATCGAACTGTGCAGTCAGCTGCAGAGGATGGTGGAGAGTGGAGAGGGAAAGGAGGAGGCAAAGGCGCAAAGCAACCGTATCGCGCGAGGAAGATGACGACGCTAGGATAGGCTTGGGCTGGGTTGCTGACGCTGACGTGCGGGCCCGGGAATAGGTAGGAGGAGGAACACGCCTACCTGGACTGGAACTGAAAGGAAAAGTCTGATGAATCTTCCCCCGGTGTCATACGCATCTTGTGTGTGTGTGTGTGATGCTCGTGGTGGTTGTACTTGAGCCTGGAGATCATTGATTTTCTTAATGAGTACTCCCTCCGTTAAAAAAAAAAAGACAAACCCGGTTTCCATGTCCAACGTTTGACCGTCCGTCTTATATTTGAAAAAATTATGAAAAAAATTAAAAATACAAGTCATGCATAAAATATTAATAATGTTTTATCATCTAACAACAATAAAAATACGAATTATAAAAAAATTTCATATAAGACGAAAAGCTAAAGTTAGACACGGAAACCCAGGGTTTGCTTTTTTTTTTGACTGAGGGAGTACGTAACAGTAGTACAGTACACATAAGAAATGCAAGGAGTGCTGGAGTGGTATTATTTTGAGGGCTTAATGACGTTGTTACTGTTTAGGCTATGTTTGGTACAATGAGGCTATGTACAATGAGGCTATGTTTAGTTCCACAAAAGTTGGAAGTTTATGTGTGTAGAAAAGTTTTGATGTGATGGAAAAGTTAAAAATTTGAAGAAAAAATTGGGAACTAAACTCGGCCAAGTTGGGAGCTAATATCTAGCGCACGCAAAAAAAATTAACACATACTCCCTCCATTTCAAAATATAAGGCACAACCACCCTTAGCTTAAAGACCAATAAATAATTAATATCACATCATTGTCATGAATTATCCCAACTAGTACAGTACATGCAACCAATAGAATTAAAGATCCTGTGAGTGTATGATTTAAAATAATACTCCCTCCATCCCATAATATAAGAGATTTTGAGTTTTTGCTTGCACTGTTTGACCACTCGTCTTATTTAAAAAATTTGTGCAAATATAAAAAACGAAAAGTTGTGCTTAAAGTATTTTGGATAATAAAGTAAGTCACGAAAAAAATAAATAATAATTTCAAAATGTTTTGAATAAGACGAGTGGTCAAACAGTGCAAGAAAAAACTCAAAATCTCTTATATCATGGGACGGAGGGAGTAATAATTTAGGAGAGAGAATGTATTAATTAATTGCATGCATGCATGCACATCTTATATTATGAAACAACTTTTTAAAAGTAGTTGTGCCTTGTATTTTGGAATGGAATGAGTACTCCCTCTGGTTCTATATTAATTGACGTTTTGGACAAGGTTGAGGTTAAACTTTTATAACTTTGACCATCAATAACTTTAAAAATATTTAGTTTCAAGAAACTAGAAAAACATATATAGATTTGTCTTTCAAAACACTATAATAAAAGTAAACATGCATTAATTTATTGTATATATTATAATAGAAAAATAAGGTTAAAGGTATATCTTGTAGAGTATGTCATTGTCCAAAGCGTCAATTAAAATAAAACCGGAGGGAGTAACTAATTAAATATAAGCTTTTTTAAAAAATATAGATTAATATTATTTTCAAAAATAATGTTTCTTAGACTTTTTTTTAAAAAAAATACTATTTAATAGTTTGGGAAGCGTGTACCTAAAAAACGAATAAAAACGAAAGTGTAGGGCCGGGGTTAAAAAAGCTGAGAGAAGAACACAGCTATGATCGTTTTGAAGTTCTTGTTATGATCGGCGGTGAGGGTTGTCGCAACCGTTGAGGCTGCAGTAATTCAAGATAGACATTTTTGTTGCAGCTCCAGCCGTTGTTGCAGCAATAGCTTGCGAACACGTTCGCTGAATGTGAATGACGATGGAAGACGGATGAAAGTGAGTTTATTATTAAACTTTTTTCTAAGAAAGAGTTTATGATAAGTATTACTCCCTCCATTTTAAATTGATCTATATATTTCATAGGTATACCAAGACCAAAAAAAAGCTAATAACTTTCTCATACTATATTTACTCTAACAACAAACTCAATGCATGCATCATTCCCACTATTTCCTAGCCAATAGCAAATTAAGATATTGCATGTAGATTATAAATATTTGTATGCATGGATGCATCAATGTCCATTTACTCCAATACACAAAATAACAAATAGAATTAATAAATAAACACAAATATGTAGATTATTTAGAAATAACCTAAAAAAATTATATATATATATATATATATATATATATATATATATATATATATAAATTTGGAATGGAGGGAGTATTAGATGGATAAGTTGATTTGAAAAAAGTTCTCTAAGGAGTACTCTACTAGTGATGAAGAAAGTTCTTGAATAACCACATTATAAAGCGGGTGCGTGATAATTAGGTAGCCATAATGAAAAAGTACGGGCCCTTTAAATGGGCGCATTTAGTACTCATCACTCTATCAACCTACTCCCTCCGTCTCAAAATAAGTGCAGCTATGGTTTTCAGCGCTCAACTTTAATCATTCGTCTTATTTGAAAAATTTTTTAAAAAAATTAAAAACATAAGTCACGAGTAAAGTACTATTCATGTTTTATCATCTTATAACAACAAAATTGCTAATTATAAAAAAAATTCAAATAAGACGGACGATCAAAGTTGGACGTGGAAACTCATGGCTGCACTTATTTTGGCGCGGAGGTAGTACTAATCTCTGGAAGGTACAGCAGAATCTACTTAAGCTGTACAACATGTGTAGTTTCATTCGATGTCTGTTCTTTTGTTTTGCTAGTTTGCTCTTCGCTAGTCAGATTAGAACTTGAATTTTAAGAAAAAAAAATAAAACTTAATGTAGAATTGATTTTGAAGTTTTTTTATTGTAGTTTATTTTTTTCATTTGCTTTTAAATCACTAAAAAGTATAAAAGTCTTATCCATAAATAAGGGTAGCTATATTTATGATGTCATATTTTCTTAAAATAATAGTTAAATCGTTTATACATGGTATATACTTACACTATAATTACACGGTAAATTATAAATCTTACTCTATAATTATATTGTAAGATCCAATATTTATACTGTAGTTTTTCAACATAATATGTAAGAAAATTAGCGCGGTGTTTAGTTTCGAAATATTTCTTCAAACTTCCAATTTTTCCATCACATCAAAACTTTCATATACACATAAACTTCCAACTTTTCCGTCACATCGTTCCAATTTCAACCAAACTTCCAATTTTGGCGTGAACTAAACATAGCCAGGATTAAAAGTAGTTTATTATTTACTTGGAAGAGGAGATATGAGAAATAAAAGCATATTTACATAGAGAAGAGAAAGAAATCACATAGAAAATAATAACTAAAATAAAGTGGAAAACGTAACACTGAATCTGTTCTTAAATTGTTAATAAGCTCTTTCACTTATAATAAGATTGTGTTCGGAAGGAGGGGTTGGGAAGCCCTCTACTCTGACGCACATAATGAATGCATGATTAATTAAGTACTCTAGTATAATATTAGCTAAAAATATTTAAAAATAGATTAATGTGAATTTTTAAAGCAATTTTCGTATAGAATTTTTAGTAAGAAGAAACGTATCGTTTAGCAGTTTGTAAATCGTGCGTATAAAAAACGACAAATGTAGAGTTGAGAAAGTAGACAAATGTAGAGTTCAGTTCAGTGAAACATCCCTTGGTCTGAACTCTGCAGACTGCACTCTTGCAGTGGCTGTGGCTCTGAACTTTTCGACAGATAAGCAGTTAGTACGAGTACATTGTTTAAATGGAGTGCCTGTCGACTTAGACTTTATTAAACCACATCTTGAGTTCGAGAGATCAATCATCAATGTGTGCACTGGGCACTGCTCCTGCTAATCGCTGCTACATTAGTTGCTCAATTACTATACATCGTCCTCGTTAGGACAGGCGAATTGGTATGCTGCTGTGCGCGTAGTACGTATCCAGCTCCGATCCACAGAGAAAAGGTCCACGAAACATGCACTAATTATGAGGTTAGTAGGCACCCAGTACGACGAGGGAGAGAGAGATCGCGTGCAATCGCATCCAGCTCTGTGCAAGCAACGGGATCTACACCCAGACCTCGTGGTCACTGGTCGATCAGCACATGGACAACCTCACACCAGATTCTCTTTTTTTTTTCTCCTTCCAAGTGCCCAATTAAGCTGGGCTTTGTTACGCCCTGTTTAGATTCTCCAAAACAGTAAAAGTTTTACTATTTTGGACCTAAACACTAGTAGTAAAAGTTAGCAATTTGCCATTTGCTATTTGCTAGTTCATAATAGTAAATTGTGCTAAAAAGTGTTTTGGGATCTCTCTCTCTATACTAAAAAGTGCTAGAATGGTAAAAGTTTAGGATGCATCTAAACACCAACTAGTACTTTTGCAATGACAAAACTTTTGCCATTTACCATTTACCATTCCGAATGGATCTAAACATGCTCTTACTCTCCGTCTTTTGTGTGGGTACCCAATAATGTAATACTCAAACACTCACTCTACTTTTATACGACGTTATTGATTTCTAGACATGTATTTGATCATTCGTCGAAGACACTCACGAATACGTCCCTTCAATCGACAAACAGATAATATCATCAAGAATGACGAAGATCATTGGATACGGCGAAGAAAACGTTGAAGATGACGAAGACCATAAGAGATGGCGAAGACCGTAGGATGTGATAAAAGCCCAT